GGCCTGGCTGGTCAGACTGCCAAGCTGAGACACTGGCCACTGGGCCTGCATGAGGTCAGGCCCGGCAGTGCCAGCCTCTGATGGCCTCTGGGCTCAGAGCAGCACTGCTCCCCTGCCCACCTGCAGACACCGTCAGTCCTGCTGTCCCCACCCCCAAACCCTCCCTGCTCCGTCAGCAGCCGCGGGAGCAAGCAGACTTCTGTTGAGTTAAGCTATCTTCCTTTTACTGATTACGCTTAGGGCTGGCTGGCAAAGATCAACGCCTCTCCGTGTGCTTTAGACCAAAGAGGAAATGAGCAGGGATGTCTTCAGCTAGCTGCAGCTCTGGCTAGCTTCGTACAGCTCCATCTTCCCTGCCTTGGCCCACAGCAGTTCCCTCATTTGTACCACGGCTGGTGTTGGTGAGTTGAATTCCATTTAAGAAAAATCACCTGCTCACCTGCCCTCTTCTTGACATGATCATTCCAGCTGATATATTTTGTTACTTAGAGGGCTGTGATTGTAAAATCTTTACTATCCATTTATTGTAAATAACTACATTTCCAAGTTGTCAGAAAAATTCTTTTATATAAGGCTACTGGCCTATCTTTCTTTAAACCACGATCCAAAAAGTTAAGTATTTGTGGAAGGAGTAAAGTAGGAAATTACTGTTGCAAAACTGATGTCTTTAAATGTAATTTTCAAAAACTCGGTTTATCACAACTTTTTAAGAGTATATGCCCTGCACATAATGTTGACACACAAATGTACGAGAGGGGCTTTTTTTCTTCATAAAAGAAAGGAGGGGCCGGCCCCATGGCCGAGTGGTTAAGTTCGCGTGCTCCGCCACGGCGGCCCAGGGTTCGGATCCTGGGCGTGGACATGGTACCACTCATCAGGCCACGTTGAGGCGGCGTCCAATATTCCACAACTAGAAGGACCTGCAACTAAGACATACAACTATGTACCGGGGGGATTAGGGGAGATAAAGCAGAAAAAAAAAAAAGAAATGAAAAGTACCAGAAAGAGTCTGGAACGCAGGAATTTAACTGAGCAAGTACTTAAGAGATGTGAGAGCTGCTGTGTTTTTGGAGGGAGAGGAAAAGCACAGGGAATGGAGGTATCTTGCCTCAGCTAAAGGGAGAGGGGAATCAACTCTTTTTGAGTTTTGCTTGAGAGGGTTGCCTGTGCCATTATCACTATGGAAAATATCTTAATCATCCTTTAAGAATACTGGGTTGCCAATCACAAAGGACACTTTTGTCAATGACGGTGTTTATTTTATTGGGATTTCTGAGAAGTACACATTTTGATGAACTCCAAATACTATTTTCTGACTACTAACCACCTGACGCCATTAATTCAAACATATCCAATGGAAATTCCACTATGGTCCATAGAGACATGCTCTTGTTAATGGTCAGGACCAATCAACATCAGTCTTCCTTGTTTTTTGAATTCAATGAGTGTTTGCTGAGCACCTATGTACATGAGGCACTGTGGCAGGCTCTGTGGTTTTAACATCAGACAATACTGACACAGTTTCTGCCCCTGTGGAGTTATAGCCTGATGGAGAATAAACAAGCAGTGACAACACTGAGCTAGGAGAGTTACAGGGTGCGTGAGCACAAAGAGGAGCATCTCACCCAGTCTTGAGGGATCAGGCAAGCCTGGCAGACAGAAGGGACATCTTAGTTGAGACTTGAAGGGTGAGCTGGATTTGATCAGGCCAAAGAGGGAATGGGCGTGCTGGAGGAAGAGGCCCAGGCTGAGAGAACAGTGTGTGCAAAAGCCCCGGGATGAGCGAGAACACTGAACATCTGGAGACATGAGAGTCATTGGGGTGATTGTAACAAGGAGTCCAAAGGATGGAGGGAAAAGAGGTGAAAATGATGGATGTTTTCAAATATCCGGGGGACAGGCAGGAGGGAGAGAGACGAGGTTTGTTCTGTGCGGCTGGCTAGCTCCAGGGAGCAGAACCAGAATCAAAGGGTGGAAATTCCAGTGAAAAGGACATTGACTAAAAATTAAATTATAATAATGGCTTCCACTTAGTTAGCCCCTGCAATATGCCCAACAGTGTGTTAAGGGTTTTAAATCCATTATCTCACTGGATCCTCAAAACAACCCTACGAGATAACTGTCATGAGAAAACAAACACAGAGAAGTTAAAGTAACCAGCACCAGCCTCAAACTGCTTCCTTGTGAGTATTATGTTGTCACAGAGGAAATGTGCAGCTCTGAAGGTTCCCATCACTGCAGGTGTTTAACCATTTGGCTGGGATACTGTAGAAGATCCAGGCCTCAGGGAGCACCAGGAACCTTCTGAGGGTCTCCCCTTTGTGAGATTCAGGGATTCAATGACATGTCCACAGTTGGATATGTAAAATAGCCCTCAAAGACGACCACCTTCTGCATTTTGGGCAGTTACTGTCACGTGTGTAATGGGCCCTCCTGGTGTACCTTTAAGGGGGGCATTATCAATCTCCATCATTGCAGAAGAGTGGGATATGGTAAATCCTGAAAGTGAGGCAGAGTGAAATGGACTGAATTAGGGCAGCTCAACCCGCCAATAACGACATGCATCTTTCACAAACATCTGCTTTAGCTAATGCTGGCCTTGGGCAGTATTAAATTATGTATTCAGCTCTTAAACTACCACAGATTCATGTTTCAAGAACATAACCGTGAGAAAATATTGCACCACTAGCAGAAACAAAACAGCTCTGCTCATTTTGCATTAAAACTTTTGGGTGCATTTCTATAATAATTCTTCATTTTCTTTCAAGTTAAAAGGCATTGTGGGAGACCAAATAGGTTAGAATGCCTAAGAATTTCTTCTGTATTGACATTAAGAAAAAAGAATTAAAAAAATGCCTCTTTTGCTCACCATTCAGTGGAGGGTATCCAAATAATAAATAATAAATTACACAATGAATTTGGGAATGTTAGAGGTCTGGAGACCTTAGAGAGCGTTCCCAATGTATTTTCTAGAATGTGGAAGCTGCCTTTTACTTATAATGAAGTGCTCCTCTATGGTCTCAAACCGTGATCTTCCTGATACGTGCCCTGGGCAGGCCAGCTCTCATCCCTGTCTGAGCACTTCCTTCAAACAGAAACAGTCCTCGACCACCATGTATGAGAACTGTACCCGCGAACGTTAAAGAGTGAGAGATGGTGGGGGGAGGGCGGCGGTCTCTCTTTTCTCTTTTCTGCATCAAGCCTGATATATTTCCCAGTACAGACTGTCCCTTGTGTCCCCCAAGCACCACTTCAGTTTTGCAAGAAGAAGAAGATATAAGGGAAAAATGAGGCAAAGGTGGAGGAAGAAAAACATATGGATCATTGCTTGAGAATAAGCAACCGTGCACGAGAATGGATGCTGAATTGAAGTCACTAAAAGAGGTAATAATAATAATGAGTCATATCTTTGGGGGCTGTGACTTTATCTCTTAATGGCTGAAAGCACTGGTCTCCATGAGGCAGGGTCAGTGGCGTCTCCATTTTGAATCTCCAGGGCCTAGCACAGTGCCTGGCACATAGCTTGTTCTTCACTAGTTATTTCTTAAACAGGTTTGTAGGCTTCTTTTCTGAGAGCCTGCACATCCGTTTTCTGATCTGCCCTTCGTGACAAAACCAGGAAGTCAGCAGAGCTTTTTTATTGTCAACTCTCTTTGCAGAGGAATAAGTTGAGAACTAAGGAGCACTGGCTCGTGAGTGACAGATCAAACCCTAGATGCACACAGTCCTAGTCCAAGGGTCCTTCCATGACACTAATTGCCTCTCCCTTTCCTTTCCCTTTGGGAATGGAAGGCTGCACAAATATAGCATGACAAACAAGAAGTTAACCTGATGAAATAGATATCTACATAGATTCCTTCTCTGGTGAAGGGAGAAAGGATCATACCTCCACCTTTATTTCACATTGAGGGCAAGGACAGGAAGACAACCCTCTGGTATCACGAAATGCTAAGAGAGCAGAGGATAGTCTGTACCATCCCCAGCTTAGCCTAGATCTTGGCCTTGGTCTAAGTATTACATTGTCATCGGAAAAACTACAGCTTGATCTTCATGCAGTATCTGATGTAGGTTATGCCTCCAGGTGTCAGCTATATCCTCCTCTTAGCTAGGATGGTCCCATTATTCAGTGGACTCTTCCAGGAAACAAACAAAAGCAGAGTCCTTTTCTGTTCCGAAGGCACCTCACCCAGCCTTTGCAGCGAGGTGGCCTTCTCACAAAGCCTTCCCTGAAGGTAGGAATGGGTCTTCATCTTCCTTTGTCTTCTGGAAACTCTTGAGCCCTGAGCTAATCCTGCATATTGAGTCCCTCTGCAAGCGTCTGGAAATAGTTGGAGGGATTTTTGACGGGGGCCAGAGAAACAATTGTTTATTCCTCTTTGCTCTCCTATCTCCAGGCTCTCCCTTGGATGTATTAAGCCCAAGCCAGTGACAACCCTGGCTAAGGACCACAGCTGTGCTTTGGTAGTGCCGAGACCCAATGGAAAAGTGATCATGAAGCCGGCCCTGAGGGTTTGGGGAGACAGGCGTAAATAGATGGCAGGCCTAGTAAGGAGACTAGGCAGTGAGCCCAGACTCACCAGCCAAGAAGCCTGTTTGGAGGCTATGGCTACCCCAGACGCCAACCGGGAATAATAGAGAAATCCATTGTCCCAGCCACTCCAAACGACTGCATTGAGCCCAGAATAAGGGCAACATGAGAGCGTGGAAGGGAAATCAACCTGGTTGAAGGAGAAGGCACCAACATGAGCTCCGGGGCTGGTGAGAAAGCAGAGCTGACAACAGTGTGACCCAGACGGGTTTTGAGCCTTTATCTCAGGAAGACTAAAATCAACATGTCAGAGGTGATGGTATCTGACCCCTGAGCCAGTAAGGGCGAGAAAAGAAACCACGGAATTTGGGTAGGGGAGAGGGAAACACCACGAGAAGTACTTTTACAGGAGCCTTTGCCAGTCTGGTCTGTGAACCCTGCCTGAGCAGTAAAATGTTCCAAATTTACTCACCTGAGTTAGACCACAAAATACAGTGTCCTAAAATTTTGATTTTCAGTCATTTGTCAAGGTCACATATGAAATTCTGTGCGAGATTCTGTGGCCGTTGAACTGTAGTAAACATAAATGCTTTAATTAATACATTGATAGAGAAGTTGTAGGTCAACAATGTAAAATTTCAAAAACATTTCTTAAAAGAGCCCTTCCTACTTGTAAATAGTTAAAAGGATTCACGCGTAGTTAAAGTAATTCCCCCTTCACCCCAAGAAACGGCTTTGTGGCTTTGCTCGCCTGTGGATGAGACGGGGGTGAGATGAAATGAATGAGTTGAGGGAAAACCACATTGGCATGCACTCACCAAAGAAAGCCAGAGACCCAACTGAATTTCAGGCAAATCAGCGCTATCACTTGCAAAATACTGAGATGTGAGATGTCAAAATTTGATCTGCAAGATTTGGGGGCTGACAGAGAAGCCTGCACACGTAGAAATGTGCTCTCCAGAGGGTATCTGGGAGCACAGAGCTTCCCGTGGAAGCTGTAACACACTCCCAGCTCCTTTTTCCTGGGAAATAATTTTACATTATGACTGTTTGTGACTAAAATGTAGTTCTATTGCACACTATCATCATCAGAGCCATCTTCCTCTGTGTCCAGGCATCTGAATTACATCCGCAATATGCCTGCAGGCATATTACATACAATTAGGAAATCTTCTTTAGTAGCTCATTTTTTTCCAAATATGTAATTTTGGCTGAATGATATTAAGGGATTTAAAAAAAAGATATCATTACATTAACTGAAATTATTACTATTTTAATTTGCCTGCAAAGCCTTTATTTCAAGTATCATTTCTTAGAACTTGTAACTCAGTGGGTATCATAATCCTGATAGAATTTTAGCTACTTGATAGCCTGAGACATTTTGGGGGAATCATTCCCAACAGAAAATCAGTTTAATGAGCACTTCTGGTGTTAACTGTGAACAGCTATTCCCCACACTCTTAAAGTACATGACGAAACCAGGGACTTACGCCACCTTTTTTAATGTAACACCTGGTGTTCTGTTCCTCCCCCCTCCTGACCCTAACAATCACTCTCGAGTAACGCCTAGCCAATTTATGGAATTGATGGACTGCAGAAAAAGTGGAGGAGCTGAGCCAGCTTCCTGAAATAGCAAGTTTTCAAATGAATTTCTGGAACAACTACCTTAAGGTGCAATACAATGAAACTTTCTCTTTAATTTTCAACCAGCCAAGCCTTTGCCAAAAGGGTATTATTTGCTGGAGAAAGTGACATCCCTGGGAATGTAGAAAGCAAATCACTGATGGAAACAGAAATATCCAACCACTCACTATATTTTCTCTTTAACTAAAACATGGTGAAAACCTGGAACACAGTGTTCTGTGAAATGTTAAATGTTCATCATACATCCTACAGTGGTCTTGTGATCAAGGTGGTGCCTGGAATTCCTCCTCTCTGCTCCAAATACAGCAATGACAAAATATGCAGCCAGTATTTCATATGTATTTTACCAATTAAATTATATAGTATAAATTTAAAAGTACTGCTACACTAAAAAATAAGCTAAACATCCCAATGTACCAGAGACAGAACCAGAAAGTGTGTCAAGAGCCAGAAGTCAACAGGGCTTTGAGGACTAGAGCAAGAAGGGTGGTGAAGATTTGGTTCCCGTGGGGTCACCTGGACAGGAGCATCCTATGTACAGCCCAGGACCAGAGTTGGGCTTTCTGCATACAAGTAAGGGCTGGGTTGGGCTTTCCGATGTGTGAAAGGAGCCAGAAAGAGCTCTAATTGCCTCTGCCTGACTGTGGCAGTGGTGGAAGGAAGCAGAAAGAGCAGCACTGGCAGCACTTGGACCAAGCTGCCCAGTGGGCCCATGGCTGGCCCTGGGACGGCACCCATATTACTGTGGGACTGGATGCTGAACCACCAGGTTAAGACCTGGGGTCCCAGGGAGTTTCCTGGCATCCACAAAGAGGTCACAGGGTGGGGAAAGCATAGCAAGAGGTGGGAAACACCACTCAAGATGAACCTGCAAGCTAAACCGTCAAAGCTCCTGAGAAAAAAGCAACACTCAGAAAAGCAGTCCACAATCTCAAATATCAGATGTATTAGTTTCTCATTGCTGCTATAACAAATTACCACAAATTTAGTGGCTTAAAACAACACAAACTTATGATGTCACAGTTTTGTAGTTCAGAAGTCAGCACTGGCTCTCAGTGGGCTAAAATTTAGGTGCCGGCAGGACCGATTCCTTTCTGCAGGCTCTACGAGACAATCCACTACCTTGCCCTTTCCCAGCTTCTAGAGGCTGCCTACATTCCTTGGCTCACAGCTCCTTCCTCCATCTTTAAAGGCAGCAACAGTGATCAAACCATCTCCCACTGCATCACTCTCAACTCCTCTTCCACCTCCCTCTTCTACATTTAAGGACCCTTGTGATTATATCAGGCCCACCTGGATAATCCAGGAAACTCTCACTGTCTTACAGTCAGCTGACTAACAACCTTAATTCTATCTGCACCCTTAATTTCCCTTTTCCATGTAACTTAACATTTTCATAGGTTTCAAGGATTAGGATGTAAACATCTTTGCAGGGAGGCATTATTCTGCTTACATCAGGAGACCTGTTTACTCCTGACAAAAGGGAAGTGATACAGCAATCTCAAAATGACTTTAAAATAACTATGTGTGAGATCCTAAAAAAGATAAAAGAAGGAATAACACTAATTAAAAAAAATTACGAAGGATTTTATGCATGGCTAACCAGTAGCAGAAAATGAGTCTGTGGGTATTGGAGTAGGTTTCATAAACTATCTCAACTCTGTTCTGATCTCTTACCAGCATGCTTTCCTCATTGAAAAGACTAGAAAAAAACCAAAAAAACCAAACCCCTACATTTCCTAGAATCTCTTGCAGCTAAAGAAGCCAGTGTGATTTAGGTTTGGTCAATCTCATGCACTCTCCTGAGACCTGAATGTGGAGCCGAGTTCCATGGAGGGAGAGGCAGTGGTGCAGGAGACATCCATTTTCCTCTTGTGGGTTTAGCAAGCGCAGCATGGCGCTGAAGTCAAGAGTTCTGGCTGCAATTTCTCATCAGCAGATTGCAGCCTAGATGGCGACCTCTTGGAGCCAACAACTGTAGCAGTAGCCTCCTGATGCCTGGGAAGCAGCTAAAATCGGGGATCTGCAATGATCCTGGGGGTGGCAGTTACTGCTGCAGCTTCCTGATTCAGTGCCCCTGGAAGCCAGGTTCTGCCAAGTTGTCCTGGGAGTCATTCCTGGATGTCAGTGGAGAACCTGCTCTTTTAAGCCTTCTAGTGAATGTTTAAGCCCCGAATTCCCTGCACAACATCCCTTTCTGCCTAAAAGAGCAAAAATGCCTTTTATTATAATTACAAAAGAACCCTGACGGACATGCGCACAACATGCATTACCTGAAATGGAGGGTAGAATGCTGACAGTTCTGCTTCCTTCACCAGATTTAGTAGTACTCAGTTATCTTTCTCCTCTGTCATTACAAATGAGCTGCTATCTACAGGTAAAGAAATCGTGCAGTAACTACACTTTAGTTTAAATTATAAACAAACAAGTGACTTTATAAAATTAAAAGTACGTCCCTGGACAGCTGGAAAGAGACAAAATGAGTTTCTAGGGAGCACCATAATTTCATTTTTCATTTTAATTAGACAAGTATCTTGGATTTAGGAAAACTAAAAATAGTCTTTAGATAATAGATAGGGCCCACTGTAGCATTTGGTTAACGATATGGACAAATTATCTCTTTCTAATCCCTGGATGGCATGTGTCAGGGTAGCAAGAAAGAATCCGTTTTCTTGATGACCTCTTTATTCCAAATGGGGCACTGGAAGAAGCTTGAGACTTATGCTTTTTCCATTTCTGTCACCAGAAAATGAGTTACATAGTCATTTAGAGAGGGATGAGCTGGCCAAGCCCCTCTTTCTCTGTGGATTGCCCAGTGCTGTCACAGGAAGCTCCATGTTGCTTCCCTCAAGAAATTCTTCATGAGTGTGAGTGGATCAAGGTAAGAACCTAGTCCAGAAGGTTGTTGATTTTTGTTTTGTTTTGTTTTGTTTTGGTCCTGCTATTTAGAAAATAATGATGGCTTCTTTGATTTGTTGAGTGAAACCAAAATAGCTGAGAGTTTAGCCCTAGAGAAAACTCACCAGCCATTGCTATCTTTATCGTCTTTTCCCCTATAACCCAAGAAAATTCCAAATTTTGGATATACTTTTGTAGCTTTCTCACATACCACTTGAGATCACAAATTGAGACTTATACCACATTCTTTACCTTTTTATTTTAAGATCATGACATGAACCCATTCAGAGAATAATAGACTCCCATTAACTTTTCTGCCTAGGAATTGTTTCTGTGAGAAATTTTTACATGCTGTCTGTTTTCTTTAAAATCAATTTTTCAAACGTTGCTACAGAGGATGGTGAGTCAATGACAATAGTTGAAGCAAAAAATACTTTTTCAATTGAGAAAAATCTGAAGAGAAAGCATCAATTATCTAACTGAAAAATGATTTTGTGTATTGCAACCAGGTAGCCCCATTTAGACCAGTCATCTTTAATAAGATGCGGAGCACCCCTATCACTGGGGGCATTGTGACAGCGCAGATGGCAACTGCACTGTGAAGGGGGGGAGGTACCATGGGAAGGACACTAAAAATACATGGCGCCTTTTATATGCCATACCTGAGCTCCCTCTATTTGCTTTTAAACTACGGGAAAATGGGTTTTCCCACCTTACCCTTATTCGAGATTTTGACCTACAATGCATTCTACAGCTCAAATTTGGGTAAATATTCCTGGGACAGAAATATGCAGAAATTCTCATTTAGAAGAAAGAACTGCTGAGAAGGAGATGAGAAGGTAAAGAAAGAATAAGTACGTGTAAGCATAAAAAATCAAAATATAGTCAAGCACCTAATTGGCCAACTGCCTTCTACGACTTCAACACTTGAATCTTGCTGGCTACTCGCACAGTATTGTTAAAGTAGCATAAATCATTTGACATGACTAGGTTTTAGGAAAATATGGGAGAGTCATTCAGGCAAAAAATCAGTTTGAAATAGATGAAATTTTCCATCTGAGTGGCTTCTACCAGGAGAGAATGTTTCTAGGAGTGCAGTATTTTTAATCTTGTTTTAAAATAAATACTTTAATGTATAAATCACTCAATTGTAAAGGCACTTCAATTTTATTTCCCTTTAGTTTTGAGGTTTTGGAATTGCTCTGTGCAGTTCCAAGTAAAAGCTCTTAGATAAAACTTGCAAACTGAAAGCCACCATCACAAATGTGCAAGTACAACTATAAATTTATACAACACTCAAGCTGTTTGTAGTTTGCAAAATTTGCTAATAAAATGCAGAAGTAGGGTTTCCATTTAACACTCTAGGGCACTGACACTGCCTGTGTATCTCGGGCGCAGGCAAAAGATGGAAAATTCCGTGCATAGAGAAGCTTTCACGGTTGCAACAGTTTGCTAATATCTTAATGAGTGAATTATGGTAATTATGAAAATCCTAGTTTACATTATTTGTGAAGAGTGTGTGTGTGTTTGCGTGTGTGTGACAGCCTTCCCAGGCAAACACAGCGTTCTGATTCAGCAGCATTCAATGAGGAACATTTCTGTGCTAATAATACAGAATGGATCTTAAACTGCTGTATATTAATCAAATTCATTAAAGTACATTCATTAATTTGTGTGTATAACAGCCAAATCGGCAATGTAGAGTTTGCTGATTTTGCACAAAATACATATATTAATGAATGCTAAAACTTCAACATGAGGAATAGCTTTAAAAATATTTTCATAAAGCAAAATTCTATGGGGTAATACTGATAATTACTTTCTTTTTAATATTTCCACTTTCATTTCATTTTGTGTTATTTAACTGTAAGTGGAAAGAATAAATATGCAAAAAGAAAACAAGAAATAAAGGGTAAGCCCAAAAGATTGTAAATAAAAAAAGAATATTGGACCTTAATATTAAATTTCTTACCTTGCCTTCAAATCACTTAATTTAAAAATAGGTTCAAGGCAGCTTAGACATGGTCACATTTCTATGTACAAAGAAATGTGGATTTGAAGCTAAATTAAGAAAGAGCCTTTCATTTCCTCTATGGGACTGGAGACTGGGAAGGGTGTGGCAAAGGAAAATACAGCATCGGAGGGTGTATCTGCATCCTTGCTAGTCTAAAACGAAGAGAAAATTTTTATTTTCTCATTGAGTCAGGGGATTTAAGACTTGTGTTAACAATCAATGACTAGCGTTCGCTTCTGCAGCACACATACTCAAATTGGAACGATACGGAGATTAGTATGGCCCCTGTGAAAGGATAACATGCAAATTCGTGGTGTTCCTTTTTTTTTTTAAAGGTTAACTGTGATATGATGCATGCGTTAATTAATTGATTGTGGTGATCATTTCAAAACGTATAGGTATCATCATGTTGTACACATTAAATACATACAATGTTATTTGTCAGTTATTTGTCAAAAGAGAAAAAAATCAAAGACTATCTTTCTAACGTATTACTTTTTACCCTGATGCTAACTGCTCTGAAGGCAAGACTCCTTTCCTTGCCCTCTGTAGCACTTAGCACAGGGGCATGGGGTATACGCTCAATAAGCATTAAATTTAAAGTAACTACTTACAAAGCAAAATAGGGTGAGAGTTATGAGAGACGTAAACATAAGACCTCCAGGTTCAGAAGAGGCAGAGCAGCGCAACATGGGCAAGGCTTCAGGTCAGAGGCTGCACGCTGATCTGAAAGCTTGTTGAGGGCAGGATCCCACAGTTCCTCCTTCCTCCTTGTCACCAGCTCTGTGCTCTGCTTGTGTCTAACAGGTGCTCAGGGCAGGACAGTCTATGTGAGGAAAGGCAATTAAGCAAAGGAAGGAAAACGGGAATTTACAGGTCATGGTGGCTAGAACAGCACAACCCAAAGGACCAAGGGTGTCCCACAGAACCCTGGTCCTGTATCTGGAGGGTAGGGAAGGACTAGTGTGACATTACCAAGTCTGCTCTCAGATATACTGAGTTTTCTTATTAATTAGGAGGTATCTGCCAATTTTCTGATTATGCATCCTTGCTTAAGAACATTGCTGTGCATCGGCATTTCCCAAACTGTGTTCCCCAGAACCCTAGTGTTCTGTGAGGTATGAAAAGGTAGGGGAAATAGTTCTTTATTGAAGTAAGTTTGTAAAACGCTGCTGGTTCTCTTGTGCTCAGAGCTGTACAACGTACATGAACAAATCGAGGGCTCTGAGAAGTCTTGTCCTGAAGACAGCTGTATGCCTTTTGTACACTGAGTACTTCCCAACATGATTTGAACACAGAACCAATGTTCCCATAGCGTTTATCAACATTTCATGAGACACTACTGCTGCCGCATGTCTACGACTCCTCTGCTAAAAATTCACCCGTGTTCTCTTGGCCACAGGAGTAATAAAACCACATATAAGAGATCCAGAGAGGATCATTGCTCCACACCTTTGCCTTCCAGAACGAACTTCAAGTGAGAAACTTTCCTGCATTTAATGAGCTTCTTGGCCTCACTTGTTCTCCCATCTTAGTTTGTCTGCCACCCGCACGGTGGCAAAATTCTCTTGTGCATCTCCTATACATGTCTTAGCCTGCCCTTGAAGAGACTGAGACAAGATAGTTCCATACTTATTATGTTTCTGTCCTCAAAACGGTTGAATTAAAACCTCAGCTTTCTCTTCCCCAGACTCACATCATTCTCTGTTTTTTTCTCAGACATCTTAAGTTGTGACTCATTTTTTTGTTGCCATTGAGATATAATTCATCATATAACATTACATTAGTTTCAGCTATACAACAGAATGATTCTATATATATATATATATGCTTTTTGCAGGGAAAGATTTGCCCTGAGCTAACATCTGTTGCCAATCTTCCTCTTTTTTTTTCCTCCCCAAAGCCACAGCACATGGTTATTTATCCTAGTTGTAAGTCCTTCTAGCTTTCCCATGTGAACCACCCCCACAGCATGGCAACTGACAGATAGGCGGTGTGGTTCCAAGACCAGGAAGTGAACCTGGGCTGCCGAAGAAGTCAGAGCACGAAACTTTAACCATTAGGCCATCAGGGCTGGCTCTCAGTATTTATATATATTGTGAAATGACCACCACAATCAGTCTAGCTAACATCCATTACCATACATTGTTACAATTTTTTCTTCCTGTGATGAGAAGTTTTAAGATCTACTCTCTTAGCAACTTTAAAATATACAATGCAGTATTGTTAACTATAGTCACCATGTTGTACATTACATCCCCAGGACTTATCTTATAACTAGAAGTTTGTACCTTTTGACCACCTTCACCCATTTTACCCACCCCCAACCCTCCACCTCTGGCAACCGCCAATCTGTTCGCTGTATCTAGGAGTTCAGTTTTTTGTTGCTATCGTTTTTAATTCCACATATAAGTGAGATCATAGGGTATTTACCTTTCTCTGTCTGACTTATTTCACTTAGCATAATGCCCTCAAGCTTCATCCATGTTGTCACAAACGGCAAGACTTCCTTCTTTTTATCGCTGAATAATATGCCATTGTGGATACAGACCACATTTTCTTTATCCATTCATCCACTGACGGACACTTACATTGCTTCCATGTCTCAGCTATTGTAAATAATGCTGCAATGAACTTGGAGGTGCATGCATCTTCTTGAGTTAGTGTTTTCCTTTCCTTCAAATAAATACCCAGAAGTAGAATTGCTGGGTCATATGACAATTCTATTTTAAACTTTTTGAGGAACCTCCATACTGTTTTCCACAACGGCTGTACCAATTTACATTCCCACCAACAGTGCACAAGAGTTCCTCCCTTTTATCCACATTCTCATCAACACTTGTTATCTCTTGTCTTTTTGGTATTAGCCATTCTAATAGGTGTGAAGTGAAATCTCACTGTGGTTTTGATTTGCATTTCCCTGATAGTTGTGGTTCCTTATTCCACCACAGGATCCTTTTAGATCCGCAGAAGAAAAGGAATGGAGAACTGGGAAAGCTCATTTAGTGAACATCTGACCAATACTGAATGTATTTGCCACATGCAAAACTGAGTCTTCATCACTGACTGCTGTTGAATGTCACAACTCCGACTGCTACATTAATTCCAGTTCTACTGCGCATGTCCCATCTCATCCCCAGGCAGTTTATTTTTGTTTCTTAATTTCCTTTATTCATTGGCCCCTATTGAGTCTCTTCTCCCACCAAAGTAACTTTTGATTCTAATACTCTAATAATATTTCTCAAGATGCTGATCACTAATTCTACTTCTTTAGATGTACTGTCTCTTAACTAGGATCATGAAAAGTAATTGTTTCCATTAATAATGCAAGTACTGAAATTTGTGAACTGTTCACCTTGTTCATAAATTAAAATAGATTCAGAAAATAACTTTACCCTCATGGCCTGTGCTACAATAAGCTTTCTCAAGTGGGAGAGGAAGGGCCAGTCCTACAGGCCGGGATTACATACACCTCACGGCCTCCGCGATCGGCATCCTGGGTAAGCCACAGGAGTATGGCTATCACCAGTCACATCTGCTGAGGAAGGACAAGGCTAGGAACCACTCGTGACTGACTTAAACTCCATTTCATCCTACTTGGAATGAGACTCTGAGCATGTTTTCTACTGCCATGAACAGTATGAAACAATGGGAAAAACACTGGAGTCCGATGGTCTGAGTTCAAGTCCTAGGTCTAAGCATTCAAATAGTTATGTGGCAGTGGGAGAAATGAATCGATATGAGTCCCCATTTTATCATCTGCAAAATGAAATGGCATTGAACAACATTGTGAGAATGAAATGCTATAATATATTAAAAACCCACTACAAATATAGGGCATTATATATGACAATGGTTTTCAAACTGTTCCAGAAATTCTAGAGGCTCCATGAAAGGGCTTGAGGGCCATCGAGAGTGAACCTAAAAGGCTGCCTCCAGGCCCCCAAAAGCACTTTGATCAGAGCGCAGCCACCTTTGTCGGTTGTGCAAATTGGGCTTCCAAGTAAGAATTACTCTGAAATATTTCACTGAAAACAAAAACAGGAAGAAGGTTGAAAACCACTAATACAAATTATTAATCCAAGTTATAACTACCGTTACAAAACGATTATTTCAGATTTGTAATTTATAATGTTCAGATTTGTACATGTCTGATACACATGTACATGTATCAGATTTGTACATGTATAAAATACACATAATCTATAGGTTTGTACATTTGTGCGTGTAACATACAAATACTAAAAGTAGGCCTCTGTAGCATATAAAATCTTTTGCTGTTCACAACATCACCATGAAAACCTATGTTTTGACTCTCAAAAGATGGTGACTTGGTTTTTTGTTCTTCAGAAATAAACATATCAAGTGATGCTGTTCATTAAATTGCACGGTATGAAACAATATCGTACACGACACATATACATGACCAACACAACCAAACATTAAGCTACACAACACGAGTTCTCTTAATTATTAGCTGTCATATTGAGATTAAATTGGGCATTAAATTAAGTTTAAAGAGAGATTAAATTGTGACATGAGGTACAGTAAAGACACAATAGGCATTGAAAATAAAAGGCAATTATTCAGAATAAAATCACAGTATTAAGGATCTGAATACTTGTCTGCTTTCAAATTTAAATCTAAGTTTATTTTGGTCTACAAATAAGGATGAAAAGGTGAATTTCATTATCTTAGTCCCTTATTTTTGTAAATCTACAGTCTATCATTCATTGCCTATGGCTGAAGTTTTCTAATGCAATGTTGATTAATTTTTAATTCAGGTATGAGGAAATTTTCAGCAGACTATACCACATTTTGTGCTTTCGCATGACTATTTTCTCTGCCTAAGTTCCTTCTTAGTAGATAAATTCTTCAGACTAGCTTAATATTAAGACAGTTTCTCAATCTTTATTTCTTATTTTAATTAACTTACTTCAATTAACTTTTGCATATCCTCCACTAGCCAAAAAGATTTCGTCAAGCATTAACTTCTGTAATTTGTATTTTAAAAATAATAAATCTGAGAATAGTCTTTCTTTACCACACTGTGGAGTTTAACCTGGAAATTCCAACAAGGCCCTCCAGTTTTTCTGTCTCACTCCTCCTGTTTGAAGATCACCAATTTTAGGAAATACAGTGTTAAGAACATGATATATACAAACCTGAAATAACATTGTCAGGCATGCTATTTTAAATTTGCAGCCCACAGGCTAGTCTCCTTGGGGCACTTATGAAGTTCTCCTCATGAATTTTATTTTCAGCAGAAATGTCTTCTCCTAAAAATGTAGAAAAGAAAAAATTGACCTTACACAAGGTGTATAAATGATGTAAAATATTTTCTTTCAGAAATGAAACGATAAATTCACCACTTTATTTGCATAATCAGTCAATACTGGAAATATTGTGATAAATTTGTAACTTGAATGTTTAAAGTTTGGAACTCTAAGCTTCCAAGATGAGATTCTGTTTCCAGGATGAAAGTACCATACTTTTGTCCAAAACCTTTCCTCTTTTTATGCCATTCCAGAACATAGTTCTAGTCCATGATTTGTATTTAGGTCTGGCATGGATTTTTAAATTTCATTAACAGGAACAAATCCAGTTTCTGGTTGATTTCTTCCCAGAAGTCTTTCTACCCCTTCAGATCGCCTGGCGACCTCATTCATAGGCGTCTGGGAATGTGTGGGGTCTTGGACTGGTCCAGGGCTCTGAAACCTAAGTCACCCGTTCTCCACGGGAAGCTGAATGTTGAGACCTTCCACGAATACTTCCCCAAACAGGAGCCTACTTACAAAATGACTCCCAAAGCCAGCAGTCTCTTTGCCAGCGCCTGTCTGTCAAATGTCCAAGTCCTGAGGTGCCACAGCAGCTTCAGTTCTCCACGTCTCCCAAGCCACATAGCCTGCGGAGAAAACAGCCACAATGACAGTCTCAAAACAGATTTCTCTAATTCTACCCACCCCCCCAAGGAGTCAGAAAAACCCTGTGATATTCGTCATGTTCCTCTCCTTCCTTTGCAGCTGCTGTGGATGAGGTCGCCTGCCACTCTGGGGCTCTGCTCCACGACAAGCTCTCACAGGTACATAGATACCTCTGATATCAAGGTGACCTGGGCTTTGTCCCACCCACACCCAAGTGATAAAGCTCTGGGCTGGGACACAATGTGAGCAACACACTCCTGCTAAACCCCAATCCTCTCCACCACCCAGCACAATCCTATAAATGCTTTGTCTCTTATTTACTATAGATGAGACATCACGAGGAGGTGAGGGGTGAAGGGAGGAAGGGCAGAAGTGGGCCGACCACAGATGATGCAGGTTGGCAGGCTGAGGGCACCCCTATGGGGGCAAAGCAGAAGCTTGTAGTTAACCCCTACTTAGGCAGTTTATCTTACCCAGATGAGCATCTCAAAGAGATCCCTCCAACCCCAGAAGCGAGATACATTGTGGTTAATGAAACAATCTCCCAATCTCTTTAGACTTCCAGAATTCCCTTAGGCCTCTTACAGACCGGGAATTGGACAACTGCCCCTGGCCAGTCGGCTTCACTCAGCCTCGGCCCCCGCCCACAGTGTGAAGTCACTTTCTCTCCCTCCCAAGGAGTCTGTTCCCTTCAGGCCAGGGATACCCCGCGCAGACATCCTGTTGGGGCCTGACGGCCCAGAATCCTGGGGGAACAGTGCCCCGGCCCTCAGGTGGGGCCCTACAGCTCCGAAGGACTCCTGAGTCAGACACGGAGACACTGCAGCCAGCTCCTCCTGATCCAGCGCACCTGGGGCATCTGCGGCTGTGATGGCACCCTGGGTTTCCGGGGACCAACAGGCAATGGCTGCTGGGAAATGGTGGCAGGCAACGGCCTCTGGGGAATGGTGCCAAGTAATGGCGGTGTGTAATGGCTGCCGGGCAAAGACTGCCGGGTAATGGCCGCCAGGCAATGGCTGCTGGGTAATGATAGTCGGGCACTGACCTAGTTCCTGGTCTAGGCCGGCCCGGGTCAGTGGCAAGATGGCCTTGTGGGGCCTCTGTCCTCATGGGGCATATGCTTGACGAGTGCTCACCGTCTGCAAAGCCCCTCACTGAACTCAATGACACTCTTGGTTCTATGAAGGATATTCAGCCGATTTCTAGGCAGCTAATGAACTTCTTTCCCACCATTTGCAGCACCAACTTCCCGAGCTTTGCTTCGCTGTGAGTTTATCATCATTCCCTGGGCCACCTAAACTGAAATTCAAACAGAATCATGCAAACATACATTTTTCATTTCTGTCCAATTACAAATAGTCTTGTTAAATTTTTAAAGTAATATAAGTAAGTGGTATGCAGATAACCTCCTTATAGACTTCATCCCACTCAGAAACTAAAGGTCAGATGAGAAAAGTATGGTTATCCTGTTGATACAGTTTCTTATACGAATTTTCTCTCTACCCAGTCTTATTCGTTTTTAAGGAAAAAAAAGAGCTTTTGGGGGGGGGGTTAGTGTGTTTATTGTTAAATACAAATATTTAGGATAAGGCAAATGCATAAAATTTAGAAATGCTTGCCCAGAGGAAAAATTATTTTCCAAAGCTTGCATGGCAAGGAATGAGCAAGACTAAAACCATATCCTGAATATGTTACTTGTTTTCCCCCTCAGTGCCCTCATTTCCCCTCTTGATATCTGTCAGAATTTGTGTATACCAACTGCAAGTTCAAGCATTATTTTCTAAATAAAAAAACTGAAAACTTTTAGAGGAAGCTCTAAGGCTGTGCCTTGATTAGCATAAACAACTAGATTAGAATCAATGGCGGTATCTCTCTGAGCAAGATCTTCCAATTTTATTCTTGTCACTCCCTGGGGAGCAGTTGCAATTGTGGGTGCATTACGCTCTCTGGCCTCCTTTGATCTCTTTATTCAGATCTCCTGTTTACTGTATTAAAACAATTCACTCCGTTCATTGGCCAGTCTCTCTTCATCGAATCACATATTTTTCACTTTTGTTTTACTCAAGTGCACAAGGGTGCATTTGGCCTTATTTATGAGTCCTCTGACAAAGATTAAATTTTATTTTTCCCTTCTTTTGAAAGAGTTGTGCTATGGAGATTCCTTAGATTAAGGCGAGTATTGATTTCCCCGCCCCATCCCTCCTTCTGAATGCAGAGTCAAGTTTCCTTGCTATGCAACTTGTTACTAAAAAGCAAAGATCATCTCTTTGGAGATGTTTGGAAAAGCTGGGCATTCCATTTTATAATGATGGGGTCAAGATGTTTGGACTTGTGACAACCCCTGTCTGTCCTGTTCTGACTCGCTCTGGAATAGGGAAGATTGCCTTTTCTTTCTCTTCCTTTCTGTGCTGTTATTTGTCAGTCAGGCGAAGCTGGAAGGTGGTGCTGTTTAGCATGTAAATAAAGCAACACTTTTTCCAGTAAATAGCTCTGTCTAGCATTATATGCCAGGAACTCTCATCTACACAATGATGAATTCAATTCCTGTATTGTGCTTTCCTTTCCTGTCCTTTCACAGAGGGAAAGGTGATCACACTGTAATTATGGAAGTCTTTTTTTCCTTTATTTTTTTCTGATTGTGCCTCTAATTTTTCTAGTCTCCTAGTAGGTAACATTTCCCATTGCTAAGATAAAATTCCTAAGGCAGGCTTTTTGAATTAATTTACTTCCTGTAGTCCAGTGTTTTATAGATGATGTAAATGAAGGATGTGGCTTACAGATCTATTTAAAGAGATGTGCTTATTCTTCACTGTTCTGGCCAGATGAGTGGGCACATGCTTTTGCATTTTTATTTGAACTCCACTGAAGTTGGTCATTATATTCTGAATGCCACAGCACGTCTATACCATTATTTAAAGGATCTTGTTCATTCATCCGTATAATGATTGGCATTGGCTATAACTTGATGCAATGTTACACTATTTTAATTCTTTCTCAGGCAATGTTATCTTTGATCACTTCCTATTCACTCGGAAAAACCCCCACACAATTGCAATCCCACATTATGTTTCGGTGATGATGCCAAGTACTCCCTGGAATATAGCTATTCAAGACACTTTCTCGACCCTCAGGCTGCTCATTAAAGGGATGGCAGTTTCTAACTTTAATGAATAAGGTAGAGTGCAAATTCTACTTTTCTTTCAAAGAGACTCAGTGGTTTTTAAAAAAGTGTTTTCTACTGCCTATTTCTTTGTTTAATTGGAAATGGTGTATACTCCTGCATAACCATGGCCATGACTCAGTATGCAAAGTATTTCCTTGTCGCATTTTCTTTTTTTGTGATTCAAGTGTATATTTCATCAAAGAATTCCAGAGAAAGTTCCGTACCTTCCCTTAAAAAAAATATACCACTGATTATGCATGTTGCATCTAGAATATCATCTTGTCTATGGGTAGAGTAACTCTTATATTCTTTGGTTTTTCTCCCTTCTTCTAACCAAGCACTGATTTAGTATGATTTTTTAAGCCAGGGACATTTGCGGCAGCTCTAACACCTCATTGAGAAGTTTAGCAAGAAAGAGCCAAGTAAGAAAGAATGACAGGGACCCACAATGTTTCGGAAGTGCTGCCTTCTTTTCAAAATCTGGTAGCCTAAAACGCAGCCAGATTTGAGTTAGGTTCCATGTTTGAAGGCGTAAATTATCTTTCTTCTTTTTAAATAAATTAAATAGAGTCTAAAAATTTCTATTTATCTCCTAGTGAATCATAATCATGTAGCAACACTCAAACAGAGTAGAGGAGGAATTTAAGATTTTAAGCCAAGTGTGGATGACTCAAGTCGCACCAGAGTTATGCAGTGGTACGAGAGCAAATAGGAATGAGCTTAGTCAGTTTGTATCATACTAGATTCTGAGACCTTCTTTCCTTCACTCTTAGAAATGGGCCAGTATCTGAGCTCCCATGCACTAGCTAATTCACAGGTTTCCAGGGTAGCCACGGGAGAGGGAGGACCCCAAGGATATTAGCATGTGTATTCAAGCTCTGAAGGGATTGGGGGGCTAATGACACTCAAACCACATCCTTGCTCCCATCATCATCTATGATGATGTTATGACTATGTTATGTGCATGATAGTGTTGAAGCATCCTTGGAGGATCCAAAATAAACATATGATGTGATCTGTATTCCCATGGAACTTTCAAAATGGTTGGGGAGATGTGTCCAGTTTATTTGAAATGAGGCAAGAACAATGGAAAAGAGAACTAAATGCTAACTTGTACTCAGTTAGCATGGAGCATACTTATGTTAGAAATTTATTCATTGTTTGTCTGAAGTTCAAATTTAACGGGGCATCCTGCGTATTATCTGGCAACCCTAGCCCTCTCATGGTGCATTGTCTTCAATAACTGACAGTTATGGTCCCACTACTGCCTTCTACTGGGTCACACATTCCACAAGCAGTAGAGTAACAATTTACATGTGCACACTGTCTTACTATTTACAGGGTTCCACACACGTATTTAAATTTAGTCTTTCACCATAAGCCTGTGAGATAGGTATCATTAATCCCATTTTTCATATGATGAAAATGAGGCTCAAAGAGGTTACCTGATTTTCTAACTCAATTATTAATGGAAATACCCAATTTAAATTTCATGACTCTCAAGGCCAGGATTCTTTCACCACACCACAGGTGCCAGCAGTGTTCCACAGCTGGTGGGCTTTCTTCGCTTCACAAAGCTTCCATTCGTTCAGTTCTCCTGCCAAGTTTCCTATTGGAATGGCAACTTCCTGTCCAAGACTGTTTATTCATCACTCATTGTCCCCGGCCAATGCCATCGTCAGCCTGCTCAGAATGCCATCATCAGCCTGAAGAGAGAGTAAAGGACTAGGAACAAGTTTGTGTGGGAGATTGTGATGGTTTTCCCTGGAGCTTTTTTCCTAATCCCGTTTTTGAACGTTCTTTATGAATCAACTAGTACTCTGGCTGAAAATTTGAGATTGCCTATGACATTCAACTCATTCAGCTGGTTTATCAATCAAATTCGTTGCCTTTTTTTCCCTACAAATTTTTATTTTGCTGACAACACGGAATATGGAGTTAGGAAAGGAATTTTAACAATTATTTTTAAATTATTTCTGAATTTTAATTATTTTTCTTGATTGCATAATGCAAACTATAAAAATATTCAAACTACACGTAAATGTAAGAAATAGGATAGCACTGTCTTCAATCCACTTTTTTTCCACTTCTGAGAAATCATCCTTTTAATGAATTGGTGTATGTGCTTCCAAGATCCTTTTCTAAAATTATGCAAACATACGTAGTCTTTTACAAAAATGTGATCACTTTGCTATGCAACTCTTTTTCACTTAAATATCTTGAAGACTTTCATGTCAGTACACATAGATTTACCTTTTTATTTTTGATGGTTGTGGAGTATTCCATTGTATGGATATACCACAATTTATTTAATCATTATTAATCTTCATTGGATTTTTCCAGATTTTTCTTCTTATTACGAACGGTGCTAAAATTTTTATAAGTATGTCTAGAGAATCGATACCCAGAAGTGGAATGTCTAGGCCAAAGAGTAAGCACATTTTACACGTAAGGAAGAATTGCTAAAAGGCACACCATAGGATTTTGCGTTTCTCCTTCCATCACTTCCTCATTTTAGTTTATTTTAGGATGTTTCACTTTTTAAAATTTTTACAAAGGATCTACATTTTTATCCCATACGTGTGGCACACATTCTCCCCAGCTTGTCTTTTTCTTTTGATTTTGTTTATGGTATTCTTTATTGTGCAAAAGTGTTTAATTTTTAGGGAGCCTAATCGTCCAGTTTTGTGTGGTTTCTAGTTTCTTCACCATATCAGAAAAGCTTTCCCCACGCCAAGGTTCTACAAGTCACTCATGTCTTCTAGTACTTTTATGCTTTTAGATTTTTACATTTAAATCTTTGATGCATCTACAATCT